CCCCCGCTTCACACCCCCCCCCCCCCCGCGCCCCGCACTCACCAGGTGAAGAGCTGGCCTTTGAGCCCGCGCAGCAAGCTGCCCAGCCGCCCCGCTGCCCCCGGGGCGCGCGGCTGCGGGGCAGCGGGTCCCGCCGGCGAGGCCGCCTCCATGCGGTCCCCTGCAGTCTGGGCGCCCGGAACCCCCCGACGTGCCGGGGCGGGGAAAACCGGCGGGGGCGGTGCCTGGGCGGCCGGCGGGATCCGACCCAGTGCCCGCGCGCGCGCGCGAGCGAGCTCGCGTGCCTCCCTCGTCGGGCTGGCTAGGCGCCTCCCCTGTCAGGCCCGCGCAGCCGGACGGAACATTTGCAGGTCAGCGCCTGGCGCCCCCGGGGGAGCTGCGGGTCGCGGGGCGCTGTCTTTCCCCGCCCCGGCAGAGGAGCCACGGCGACGGGTGGCCCCTAATATGCATGTCAGGGTCTTACGGTTCCCTGTCGCGAACCGGCACGTGAGGCGGTGCAAGGCTGTGCCCCCGCGCCCCGACCTCGGGGGCCGTGACTTCGCAGCCGCCCGAACTTTGCCAACTGGAAAGGAGCGGCTGGCTCCACCCCCTGACCGCCCGGCCTCCTCCCTCTGCCTAATTTATGAAAGATACTTCCTATCCAATCTAAAAGAACTGAGGACGCTTTAGTGCTGTTCTGGGTGAAAACCTGGGAGAAATCCCAGAGGGATCGGGGCGACGCGTCCCTTCGGCGCGCCTCCTTCCTCTCGGGTGGGTTGGGCGCGCTGACCTGTCCCGCAGGTGCCACCCGCTGGCGCGCACTCTGGGCGCCCGCGCTTGGACCACGCCTTGCGAGGCCTCTGTGGACCCAGGAGGACCGAGCTTCTGCGCTCGGGAAGCTCCTGACACCCGCCCCCACCCTCCCCCCAGCTCCCCCTACACACACACACACCACCCCCCACCCCCGGCAGGAGGGGCCCGCGGGTCCAGCAGAAAGGGGAAGATAGGGAGACGAGAGAAAAGGTGTCTTTATAGACGGGTGTTTCCTAACCACCTCCCTCCCTGGCGACGGGGCAGCGGGGGAGGAGGGTCTGAAGAAGGAGCAAGAGAGAGGTAAATTCAAACGAGCTGGCGGTTCTGTAAGAAAGTTCTAAGAAAGAACATAGATTTTGAAAACTGAAATGTAGCTTTAGGAATCCCAAGTTTAGCATCTTACAGGAACCCCAAAGTTGAAACGAACTTATTTTTTAATTGTTGAAGAACATGGTCATCCGTAGAGGGATGACCGCACATCATGGTACAACAGCATATGGAAAAGAGGACTTGGGAGTCCTCCCAGGACTTGGGAGGATGTTCTGTAGCTAATTTTGAGCGGAAAAAAGCAAGGTATAGAGAAGTACGTTTAATGTGATCTCATTTTTGTAAAGCGAACAACCCATTACACCTCATACATTGACAGGGTTTAATTTTACTTGATCCGTGTACTCCTGGAATATAGTAAGAAATGCCCCCACACTTTTGTATTCTCAGAAGTGGCATATTGCAAAGAAACACACTTCCCATTCGACTTAGGCAAGACCCAGAAATGCTCTCTCGTTCCCCTAGGACAAAGCCAGACGCAGAACCTACCAACTGGCTAAATTCCTCTTCTTCCTCCAGGCCTAGGAATTTTAACCCACTTTAACCCACTTTAACCCACTGAGCCAGCTTGTAACCCACATTAAAGGGTTCCCCCCTCGCGCCCCCCCACCCTGCCCAGTTCCCAATATGGTTGCCTCAGGGTAAAAAGTCCTCAGATCTGCTATTCAATCGAGCCACCTTTTCATTGCGCTTTCTTCCAGGGCAAGAGTCCCCTTCCCACTCCAATAATTCTTTCAAGTAAAGTCTCTTATCTAAATCAGATTTGGTTGTGGTTTGTTTGTTTTTTAAATGTTTATTTTAAAGAGAGAGAGAGAGAGAGAGAGAGAGAGAGCGCGTGCGTGCGCGAGGGGGGGGGAGAGACAGAGAGAGAGATGGGGAGAAAGGAGCTGAAGTGGGCTCTGTGCTGACAGCAGAGAGCCTGACTCTGGTGCTTAAACCCACAAACCGTGAGATCATGACCTGAGCTGAAGTCGGATGCTCACCGACTGAGCCACCCAGGTGCTCCGTTTCTGTTTTTGTTTTTTTAAGATTTTATTTTCAAGTAATCTCCACACCCAATGTGGGGCTCGAACTCACAACCCTGAGATCAAGTCCCATGCTCCACTGACTGAGCCAGCCAGGTGCCCCAGATTTGTTTTTTTATTTGACAATATGTACACGTAGTTATGTGAGCATGGAGAAAAGTGTAGGACACATGTCAACACAAGTAACCTTAGAAAAGTTAAGGGATACAGAAAAAAAAAATTTTTTTTAAGCCTGTGCTTTAAAAAAATACTCCAGCATGTATGACATAGTCCCTTTTATTTTCTTTTTCAATTTTTTAAAACTATATTTATTTATTTTGAGAAAGAGACAGCGCAAGCAGGGGAGGGGCAGAGAGAGAAGGATACAGAGAATCCCGAGTAGGCTCTGGGCGGTCAACACAGAGCCTGATGTGGGGCTTGAACTCATAAAACCATGAGATCATGATCTGAGCTGAAACCAAGGGTCAGACATTTATCTGACTGAGCCGCCCAAGGACGCTGATATAGTCCCTTTTATATATGTGTTGTGTCTAAATATATGAGATTAAAAGGTAGATTTAGATGTTGTGGCAGGCTGAATAATATCCCCCTCCCAAAATAACCAGTTCCTAATCCCTAGAAGCTGAGAATGTTGCTTTGTATATGTGGTGTCTCTCCTGATCAGATGGGGGCTCCCAAATGTGAGGTGACCCGATTGAGTAGGAGCCAGTGTGGTAGGCCAGTGAAAAGATTCACCCAAAGTAAAACAAGGGAGATAGAAGTTTAGTGTATACTCTACAAGGGAACTTTGGGCCAGGACAACACAGGAGACCCTGTCTGCCACAGGCAGTGGGGTGAGGGCTGTATTTAAAGGGAGAAGATGGGGGCGCCTGGGTGGCGCAGTCGGTTAAGCGTCCGACTTCAGCCAGGTCATGATCTCGCGGTCCGTGAGTTCGAGCCCCGCGTCGTCGGGCTCTGGGCTGATGGCTCAGAGCCTGGAGCCTGTTTCTGATTCTGTGTCTCCCTCTCTCTCTGCCCCTCCCCCATTCATGCTCTGTCTCTCTCTGTCCCAAAAATAAATAAACGTTGAAAAAAAAATTTAAAAAAAAAATAATAAAGGGAGAAGATGAAGAAGTATGGGGAGGTACGAATTTTCCTTTTTCGGTACCTGTGTCTAGGTGTTAGTAACCCATTGGTCAGGTAGGGCTTACAGATATTTTGAGGTGGGTCGTCTAATGGGCCGTTTGTATTTGGCCAGGGGGTTGATAAGTTGATATGGGCCCTTTCCACATTCCATGGCTCCAGCCGTGGCCTAAACCTCGCCTCTACAATATGGTAAAAAAAAAAAAAAAAAAAAATTGCAGATGTGATTCAATGCTGTATCTCGAGATGTGGAAATTACCCTGAATTATCTAGTGAGTTTTAATTAATCACGGGCATCCTTATAAAACAGAAGCAGATGGAGGTTTACAGAAGAGAAACTGACACTGTGATACAGGCGGAGATTGGGAAACTGCGCTTTGAAAACCCACAAACCAAGAAGTCAAGGCAGCCACTGTGAGCTCAGAGCCTCAAGAAGGAAGTAGCCTTATCGGTAGCCCAATAAAACAGATTTCGAACTTCTGGCCTCTAGAGATGGCAGAGAATAACCTTGTGTAGTTTTAAGCCACTGCATCGGTGGCGATTCATTACAGCTGCCATAGGAAACAAATGCAGATTGTACACCTGCTAACTTGTAGGGATCATGATACACTGTCAAGCGAGAAAAGCAAGTTGCAGATTTGCAGAATAATTGTATAATATGATTCTGTTTTAGTAAACACCACCAATGAGGTAACTAAATATCTTCACATATACATATACATTTATATGCATGTATATATGCTTGCTTGTATCTATATGAGCAAGAAGGTGTGGGAGAATATACACCAGGCCATTGATTTAAGTCATGGGAGTTATGAGGGGGGAGGGTGGGGGGAGAGGTGGAGAAGGGGGATAAGGAATTGAAATGGCATTATAGGTCTTCATTTTGTGTTCTTACTGTGGGCCTATGCTACTTCTGCAACTTGAAAAATATTCAACGAAGATGTTTTGTCCACAGGTCATGTCAATCCTAATTAACATATTAGGCTCAAGGTATCACCCCCACAGAAAAATGAGGTCAGGAAATACAGTCAACCAGTGATGTGGATTCTGAAGTTATGAACAAAGTTATGGGGCACCTGGCTAGCTCGGTCGGTTGAGTGTCTGACTCTTGATTTCAGCTCAGGTCATGATCCCAGGGTTGTGTGGGATCAAGCCCTGGGTCAGACTCTGAGCTAAGCGTGGAACCTGCTTAAGGTCCTCTCTCTCTCTCTCTCTCTCTCTCCCCCCCTCCCCCCCTCCCCCTCTGCCCTTCTCCCCAACTCAGGCTCTTTCCCTCAAAAATAAAATAAATAAATAATGAAGTTATGGACAAAGTTCTATTTATTTTCTAAACAAAAAACCTTCCTCAAAAAGTAGCAATAGTAGTTGCTGGGGCGCCTGGGGGGCTCAGTTGGTTAAGCGTCCGGCTTCCGCTCAGGTCATGATCTCGAAGTTTGTGAGTTCGAGCCCCACATCGGGCTCTGTGCTGACAGCTCGGAGCCTGGAGCCTGCTTTGGATTCTACATCTCCCTCTCTCTGCCCCTCCTCCTCTCACACACTCTCTCTCTCTCTCTCTCTCTCTCTCTCTCAAATATAAATAAACATTTTTAAAAATTTACAAAAAAAATTATATGAAAAAATAGTAGTATTGCTCTCAAATGAGCTCATCCCCTGAAGATTATTGATCAGACTACATTATTTTGGTTTCAGGATTAAAATATATTGAGCGGATCTGCGGGCATCAATCCACAAGGTTTTGTCAAAGGAAATTTACTGGAAAAAAAATTATTCAGTGGTTGGGAAATTCTGCACACAATAGCCCTTGCTTCCTACAAGCACCAAAAAACAACTACCTCTTATTGAGTACCTACGGTGTGCCAGACCCTTCGTACACATTTTCAGTTCTGTTCCAATTATCTATTGTATATATCAAATCACCCAAAATATCGGTGGCTTTAGACCATAATCATTCTGTTATCTCTTGTGGTTTCTGTGGGTCAGACATTTAAGAAGTTCGGGGCCAGGTGGCTCTTGCTTATGGCCTTTCATGCAGTTGCAGTCAGAAGGCAGCTGAAGCAGGAAGGTGGGGGTGTCGAGGGGTGGTGGGGCTGGAGCATCCAGGGACTGACCAGACTCACTCTTCACTGAGTTCTGTGTCATCTCCTGTCGTGGGCTAAAATTGGGCTTCCTCACAGCCTGGTAACTTTGAGGTAGTTAGTCTGCGTATATGGCAGGTGGTTCCTCCCACCCCTAAGCTAGTGTCCCCAGAGAAAGAAAAAGCCAAAACGTTGT